TAAAAATACTACATCTCAATTGTTGTTGCCCACCTCTGTCGCCCCCTATGGCTTACCCCTGTGCTATGCTCGCATCGCTCAACTCATTCTTCACTCACATTCATTGAATTAAAAAAATAATAATAATAAAATCTGCATTTTAGCATTAATTGTTAATTCTTATATATTGTTTTACTTGCATTACTATGGATCCTAATATGTCTAATGTTTATGTCGATGTTGATACATATACTACCCCACATGAATCGTTGATTCTCCTTCTAATATCCATGTTCCAACAGTTGCATCATCATCTAAGAGCAGAAATAGTAGTGTTTTGGAACATTTTGAAAAAATATCTATAAATAATCCTGATGATACAATTACATTTAAAGCAAAATGTAAATATTGTGCACATTTACTTAGTACTGCATCTATAAGGGGTATTAATCATCTAAAAAGGCATGCTAATAAACATTTACAAAGTTACACAACTTGATATTAGAAGTCAAATGCAACTAGAGGCTTCATCAACTGGTAATTTATAAATATTTTCATATGATCATATACGTGCATAAAATTCTATAGTTGATTATATTATTACGAAAGAACAACATTTTACTACTAGTGAATGTCCCAATTTTACCGAAATGATTCACGAAAGTTTTGCACCGCAATATCAAAGTTTTTTAAGAAATACTACTAGAAACAAGATTTTAAATAAATTTGAGGATATTAAAAGTAAATTTTTTGACATCTTTAAAAAATTGAATAGAAGAGTTTGTTTAATATCTGATCTGTAGTCAAATAATGGTTTTCGAATATCAATGTATCACTTTATATTTTATTGATAATGATTGGAAATTAAATAAAAGATTTATTTCATTTAAATTAGTTAAACTTCTATACACTGGTTATTCGCTTGGTATAGAAATAAGAAATATATTATATAAGTGAGTTTTACAAAATAAAATATTTACGATTAATTTAGATAATGCAGTATATTATATAAGTGAGTTTTAAATTTGATTGTTAAAGAAGCTATGCATGCATACGAGACTTATGTACTTGTAATAAAAAATACAGTTGTTACTATTATGTCTTTTGCTAATCGAATTTTGAAATATAGAAAAATTTGTTAACGAGAAAATGTCATTAAAAAATTAATTTTAGATATATATAGTAGGTGAAATTCAACGTATAATATGTTAAACAAGGTTTGTAAACAAAGAATAGTAATAGATTTATTTTTACAACAACATCAGCAAAAGGAGTACTGCCTTGTATAAAGGTTTTTTAAAAATTTTTGATACTTCAACAAAATTATTTTCCTATATATATATATTCCTACTTCACTATTTGTTTTACATATACTAGCAGAAATAATTAAAGTTTTCGTAAAATATATGGGTAATGAATATTATATTTATTACTTCAATGAAAGTAAAATTTGATAAATATTTTAATCATTCGCCTCATCTTTTAGGTTTAGCCGCAATAATTGATTCTAGGTGTAAAGAAATTAGTTTACAAGAATTTTTAGAACGTATTTTCGTTGATCAAACACAATTTGCCCCTATTATGCAAACATGCAACAGATTATTTGAAGAATACAGGGCAGCTGTATCTATAAATACACCTACACACACTACACTAGTAGTCTCATATCGAGACGGAAGATTAAGTGTTTTTTAGTAATAAAAAGTAGAAAAATATCTCAACATACAAGCGTAAGTAGTTATGAACTACAACGTTATTTGGAAAGCCCGTCAGTGGATGATTTCAATAATTTTGACATTTTGGAATGGTGGAAATAAAATGAAATTATGTGGCCTGTGGTTTTACAAATGACCCATGATATACTAACCGTTTCTATTTCTACAGTTGCTTCGAAAACAACTTTTGGTGCAAGTAGACAGGTGTTGAGCTATTATCTTAGCAGACTTTCACTCCAAATGGTTGAGGTAATGATGATATTTAAAGATCATATGCATGCGTTTATGAAAAGACAAAATTATAGTAAAAATGAGCGAATTCAAAATGATTTGGATGACATATCCTTGGGTAACGAGACTGAAATATCTGTGTCCTCCAATGATTGATCAACAATTTGTTTTTTACTACTTTTTTTTTTTGGTATTTGATTATTGAGGTAGAATATAATGTAAATGATTGGTAGGCTAGTAGGTGCCAACCTAGTTAGGATGCACTTGACCTATAGTGATGCAATTGCTCTACCATTATCAATCATTTACACCCATTTTATTTAATGATATAATTTTTTGTAATATTTTATTTCATTTTGAAATAAAAATTATTCATTCAATAAATGTTATATAATTAATTTAATATTGTAGTATTGAAAGTTTCATTTTCATATATATAAAATTATTCATTTTGAAGGGGAAAAAAATTACATAATTGCATACTTTTTTAGTTATAAATTCATAAATAAAAAAAACATAAGCCATACATAATTAAATTTAAATATCACCATGAAACATAACCAAACAAAACATCTCATTAATTATAACTAAAATATTATAGTATAATTTTTATTTTATTTTATTTTTTTCTTAATAAATAATCTACATAGATAATGCATTTATCGTTCATTTTTTCAACAAAAAAAAGAAGAAGATCTGACTAGGCCCAGCCTGTGGCCCGAGCCCAGGCCCACCAGCCTGGCCCTAGGCCCTATTATGAGTGGGCCTAGGCTTGGGCCTGGGTCCCACTTTTTAGAGCATGGCCCGACCCACTAAAAAGCAGGAACTCGAGAGGCCCGCTTGGGCTAGCCCAAGCTCGAGCTCGAGCCCGAAAGATTTTGATAAAAATATTGGAGCAACTCATATCAAATTAAACTCTTTTTCTTTTTGTTCAAAAAAAAAAAATTTAAATATTTTATTTAAATTTAAATTTGATGAAAAATTGATAAAAATGATACTCTAATCGTTTCGTCAATTTAGTATTAAATGAATAAAGTGGTACTTTTTTGAAAGGAGTGTTTATTCTTTCATCAAATTTATAAGTGACTGTTGGAACGTCCTCCAGACAATCGACTTTAAGATGAATTTGATGAATATTTTATTCTAGACGGACGATGCTGGTCGGTCAATCAACTAGATTAGATGAAATGGTTAAAAGATCAAATTTTTTCCCAAATTTAATGGAGTAGATAGCTTAGGGCCTGTTTGGTAACCATTCCGTTTTCAGTTTTCAGTTTATATTTACAAAATTTTTAAAAACTGTCATAAAAACTTATTTGATAATTTTTTTGATTTATAAATGGTTGTTTCAGTTTATAAATTTGAGGAAAAAACGTAAACTTAAAAAATGAGTTTACGTTTTCAGTTTTCATTTTTTTTTTCAATTAAATTTTTTTCGAATAGTTTATTTTCAATTATTCTTTTTTCAAATAATTTTTTTTTGAATTATTTTTTTTTTCAATTAAATTTTTTTCAATTATTTTTTTTTTCAAATATTTTTTCCCAATTAATTTTTTTCAATTATTTTTTTAATTAATTTTTTTCTTTTTTTTTCAATTAATTTTTTTTCAATTATAATGTGTGTGATCCCATTGTCATAAATAATAAAAATAAATATAAATATTTTAGACCAGAACAAACATATTTTTTAGTTTATGTTTTTAAACATTTTATTTAAACTAAACGTGTTTGTAATTTATGTTTTTCTAAAAATAAACAAAAATCAATTTATAAAATTTTTGTAAACATAAACCAAAAACGTAAACATTAACAAACGCTACCTTTGTGTTTGGTGTAAGTTTTTTTTTCTTGTGTTTCATATAAAATTTTCATATATGTCAGGCTTGCACTTAAAAAAAATTCTTATTAATTGTATTTCGATCATGAATTTATGTAAAACTTTGAAAAGGGAAAAGAAAATGTCAAGAAAATATAAATCAATTTTTTTTTCTATTTTCTTTCTTTCTTTTTCCTTAATTCCTATCTAAAGTTATAATCCAAACACAAGTACTACCTTCATCCGAAATTATTTGTCCTGTAGGAAAATAAAAACTTAAAAATAATATATTTTGTGTCAAAAAATTTTATTTTTTTGTTTTCACCTAAGGGTTTGATAACTTAATTTTGAATTTAAAACTGAATATATTAAGTAAAAAATCAATTAAGTCTATTTGATAACCGCAAATTGTTTCACTTAAGACTTACGTGATTGTTAAAATGTAGATTAAAAAAAATTAAGTGATAGAAAACTTATTTAATTTTAACTGAAATTATAAATACTTATACATAAATATCAACATACACGTTATAACCTCACAACCTCTGCCATCACCTACCATCGTTGTTGCTGTTGTCATTATCACCATCACCGTTGTCGCCACCTCCACAATCGCTATCACCACCACAATCCACCACCCTTCCATGGTTGTCACCTTCATCACCATTGTTATTGTTATAATAAGCATCACCATCAAATACTACCACTACAATAGAAGAAGTTGAAAATGAGAAGTAGAGATGAGCAACTTCTCATAATCAGTTTTTTTTTTTAGTTAAAATAAATTGTTAGAATCATAAACTATTTAAAATAAGTCTAACTAAATAGTCCAAAATAACTTTTTCAAAAACTTGGGGAAGCTTCTATTTCCACACACCAAACCCTTGACGTGCCCATCTCTTCTCAAGGTACACACTCAATGATTTTGAAATATCAAGTTTTGCCCAATACATAACCTTGCTTGTCAAAATTACCCGACTTCTTCAACCTTCAAACCTAACCTAACCTAATCCTAGCCACCACTCACTGCCGCCACCACGAGCCCGCCCACCCCACCTCTGGTCGCTACTACTACCATCTCCAACGGTCCTCCTCAACCTTACCCCACGCTCTCCAACCACCCCTTTTGCCTACCTAGCCCTTTCCTCCTCCACAACCTTCACAACTGCAACACACCACTCCAACCCTCCCTACACTTTGGCTATGGTGATTGCAATAAAGAGAGATTCACACACACACACACACACACACACACACACACACACACACACACAAATGGATTGCACAACTAGGGTTTTGAGATAGACAGAGATCGAGGCAACTAGGGTTTCGTAGAGAGAGAGAGGGGTTGCGACAATGGTTTTGGCAAAAAGGAAGAGTGGTGGTCGCGAAGGTGCCATAGAGGGGCTACGGGTTGAGTTTGCAGTGGTGGGAAGCTCGTGGCAATGAGAATTTCGCAGTGGAGGGGTTGTAGCGAAGGTGATTCGCGGTGGTGGCAGTAGCCAGGGTTGGGGTTAAGAAATTAGGGTTTTGGTGGAGAAGATGAGAACATTTTGATAATTTTATGATATGACAAAATTGTAATAAAAATTATTGGCCCTTTTGTGCTTAATGTGGTTGCTTTGGTTAGAGCGAAATCGTCACGTTTTTCAGGGGGTTGCTTGGTCCATGACTTGGCTAGAAAATAGGTTTCTCCAAGTTTTGTGTGGTTAGGTGTCTGGGCAGGTGGATCCAAATTTGTTTACCTTTGTAGATTTTATAGATGATGTGATTGGTTAGGTGTTTCTCTTTTTTTGGGGGCTCCAGTTTTGTATTCTTTAGCATCTTCCTCCACCAGTTATTTCTACCCTTGCTGTTGATTCTCCTTCTTCTGATGACTCTGATCTTGCTAACCGTAAGTATCCTCTTAGCATCCGTAAACAGGTAGTCAAACTTGGTTTTGCTAAAACATGTTTTTCTCTTTTATACTGTACGTTTTTGTTTGCTATTCACTCTTTTTCAGAACCTCAGTTTTACAAGGAGGCTTGTCAGGATCCTCATTTGATTCAAGTTATAGAGGATGAGTTGTTTGCTTTGCAGAAAACTAGCATTTGGGAGTTGATTCCTTTGCTTGCTGGTAAGAATCTGGTTGATTGCAAATAGGTCTACAAAGTCAAGACTCATTCTGATAGTTCTCTTGAGCACTACAAAGCTCGCCTGGCTGTCAAGCGTTTTTCACAGGAATATGGTATTGATTATGAGGAGACCTTTGCCCTCATTACCAAGATGACTACTATCCGTACTTTGATATCTGTCGCTGCCATTCGTCATTGGCCTCTTTATCAGATGAATGTTAAGAATGCTTTTCTTAATGGTCATCTTACTGAGGAGGTTTACATGCATCCTCCCCTTGGCCTTCAGCATTTCTTTGGATAGGTTTGTTGTCTTCAGCGTGCTCTGTATGGTCTGAAGCAATCTCCTCGTAGTTGGTATGATCGCTTTCAAACTACTGTTACTGAGCTTGGGTTTCATTCTTCTGCTCAAGACTTTGCTTTGTTTCTCCTCCACGTCTCTGTTGGTTTTGTTGCCTTATTATTGTATGTGGATAATATGGTTATTACTGGCTCTGATTCTTCTGTTATTTCTGAGGTCAAGCAGCGTCTTTTTCGTATCTTCAAAATGAAGGATTTGGGTCCACTACGGTACTTTCTTGGTATTGAGGTGGCTTCTTCTCTCTCAAAGGTTACTTTCTGTCTCAGGCCAAGTATGTTAATAAAGTTATTTATCATGCTGGTCTTACTAACATTAAGGCCCCGTTTGTTTTGGGAGATAGAATGGAGGGGATTGATAGTGAGGAATTGTTAAATTATTTTTATATAGAATAATAAAAAAATATAAAAATTAAACATTAATATTTTAAAAAAAAATTCCCAATATATAAAAAATAAAAAAAATAAAAAAATTTCTAATCCCCTCACTATTTTTCTAATACCATCTCTACCTCCTCCTTACCAATTCCCCTTCCTCTTCCTTACTAGTCCCAAGGGATTACTAGTCCCCTCCCTATCTCTCAAACCAAACACCCCATTCTCAATCCCCTCCTCACTATCAAACCCAATCCTCTCCCCATAACCCCAAACAAACGGGGCCTAAGATTGTTGATACCCCCATTGAGCTTAATGTGAAACTTAACACTACTGATGGTTTTCCTCTGCCTAATCCTACTTTATATCGAAAGCTCGTGAGTTGCTTAGTGTATTTGATGGTTACTCGTCCTGATCTTGCCTATGTTGTTCATGTGGTTAGTCAGTTCGTTTCTTCTCCTTGTTTTACACATTGGGCTGTTTTGGTTCGGATTCTTCGCTATCTTCAGAGTACTATATTTCAGGGTTTACTATTGTTCTCCACTTTCTCTTTGGACTTGGTGGCCTCTGTTGGTTTTGATTGGACTGGTGATGTAATTGATCGCAAGTCAACGTTTGTCTGATTTGGGTGTCTCGTAGTCTTCTCTTTGATGCGGAATATAAGAAGCTCAAAGAAGAGTAAATTTAAAGAAGCGGCGATATTTGAAAATTGGAATGGTTTCAAAAAGAAATCGATAGGAACTATATATAATCATGTTTCTAATATTATTATAGTTTTATTTTATGATTATTTTTATGTTTCTAGGGTTTTTAGGCGAGGGGCATTTTGTTAATTTTATATTTGCCTACATTGGTCGTCGGGGTCGCCCATGGGTCGTCTTGTGAGTCAAGTTATTTAATTAGTCTTTGTTTTTGTTTCTTATTTAGTCTTAAATTAGTTTTGGAAGTCAAAGATATTTTGGTAGTTTCCTATTTTAGTTCTAGCTGGTTTAGGAAGTCTCTTGGTATATATAAAGCCATGTAATGCCTCTAATTCAATAGAGTTGATATTTTATCAGAAGTTAAAAGAGCTTTAAAGCTTCTTTATGGATTGTGTGATGCAATCAAACCCTAGGTGTGATACCTATGGAATCTAGGTGTGATGCCTAGACCTATCTTCTTCTTCTCCTCCTATCTTCTTTTCTTTAATTTCTTCCTTAAATTTCAGCACTTCCATGGCCTAATTACTATTCACGGGTACTGTTTACAGCACCCGTATCAGCCCCTGTTTTGATCTCTTTCGTCTGGTTTATTAATCCTAAACCAAGTTCATTCCATTCATTAATTGAAATCCTAAAATTCCTATTGATTTTCAACTTTAAGCAACCATGAAAACCCACAGAAAGTCTGTAGCGCTGTCCCTATTTGTCCTGCATCACTCTGACCTCTCTCTATTGTGACAATCACAGTGCTATTCAGATTACCCACAACACTATCTTCCATGAGCAGATGAAGCACATTGAGATTGATTGTCACTTTATCCGTTAGCATCTGTAGTCTAGCTCTATCTCGCTTCCTTTCGTCTCTTCGTCTCTTCGGCCCTACAATTTGCTGACTTCTTTATTAAGACTCACACCACTGCTAAGTTTGAATTTCTTCTTGGCAAACTTGCGGTGTTTTCTACTAAAACACCTTGACTTTGACTGTGGGTGTGAGAATATTCGGCTTTATGTATATATGGCATTATATATATTCTGTATATATTAGAGATTGAGTATATATTCTTTTTTTCTTTTTCAGTCCTAGGTGAGGTTGTTATGTAAACTGAGGTACTCTTGTATTACAGACACAATTGAATATACATAAATTATTCAGAAAACTTACAGTATATGCCTGTTGTTGAACGATTGAAAGACCTCAGATGGGGTAGCACGTCACCGATATATTCAGCTTTAACACACTTCAGATTTATAGTTGGCCATCATGAGCAATGCTTCATATCTCGGCTATCTCATGAAGTTGAAGATGAATTCAATAAGTTGGAGAAAGGCTTGAAGTGTATAAATGGTGAAGGCTTACCAACTGAAATTACCAAGGTATTCAAACATGCCAATGCTTTTTTCCTTGACCGTCATTGGACTGTTAAAAATCTATCCTAGTTCGGGATTGAAAATATGGATAAGCTGAAGTTTTGTTTGTTGGCAGAATGTAATGAGCTTCAGTCGGTCATTGATGTAGAAGAGTTTTATCAAGAAGTGTGTGATTCTGATTTTGATGAAGAAATTATTCTCGAGTCACTTCAATACTTGAGCATTCACCAAGTCCCAAATCTTTCTTTTATGATGATAGTATTGATGAGGAGACCGAGGACATAGATGCTGAGATTCCTTATGTTGATCCTGCTGCGTTGGAAACCCTCTCTCGCTTTCTCGAGCTGTCGAATCCAAGTTTTCGCTTGCCTCTCTTGAGCCAAATCCTCTTTTCGTACCCTTGCTTTCCTACCCTGCCTACCTATTATTGAGGGAGTCTGTAGTTACCTGTCTATAGGTTGTAGTCAATCTAATCTTTTGCTAGTTGATCCATTAAGTCTCCATCCCTTCTAAGTGGGACAAAGATACTGGCCAAGTAGTCTTGATGATCCCTGCTAACCATTGAATCATTCCACTTTAATGAGTCCCACAACTGATTCTCTCATTTGATCACCTTCATATCTTTACTAGAAACTTCCTTGGTAGAAAGCCTTTCAAGCTTTGGGCAATAAAAAATGACCAACCTCTCTAATTTTGAAACTATACATAAACCACTGGAAATGTTGATCAATTCTGGCAGTTCAAGAAGCGACATCTTCTTCAAACTTGGGAGAAAATTACCCGATTTTACTTTGGAACATTTCATACTTATTAGGCTATTAATCTTGGCACAGTCTTCAACTATGAGCTCTTTCAAGTTTATGAGATTACCAAGCATGCCTAGTGTGAAAACGGTAATCAAACTGGGGCATGTATGCAAGGCCAAAGACTTCAGATTGGAGAGACCCCCCCTCCGAATTGGTTCTTTACAAATGCTCTCCATATTCTTCTTAACTATTCCAAAGGGCACCATTATAAGGATCACTTATGCTTTTCCTGCTTCCCAGATGGTTTTCCAATACCAGGAGAATACCGGACCGAGTCGGGTCAAGCCAGTTCGGGTTCTAGTGGTGTTAAGGGGACAAAGCAGTCATGGGATCGCCAGAGAAGGGGTTGGGGAATATTTCAAGAAGCCTCTCAAGGATCAAAACAGGGGAAGCCCATCTACGACTAATGCCCTATAGACAAGTAATTTCTCATTATTCAATCAGCCAATTTTTAATTATTATCTCTTAACAAAAAGGAATAAGTTTTGTTTTCTAAAAGCATTTGTTCACAACATATCCCATTCAACAAAACTAAACTCTTTAATGTCCTAACTACTGAGATTTTGTCACTACAAAGGGTATTTTTTTTAATTATTATTATTTTTAATTCCTTCTTGTAGTTTATGCAGATCTTCCAAATATGTATATTTTATTGTTGTTTTAATTCTCTTATTGCCCTTCAAAGTGCCATTGCATTGCAAATAAAGCTTAGGCAAAATTCAACACCTCATGTTTCACAGCCTTGTCAAACCCAAACCAGTGTGGTGTTGAGGGACATGATATATTATTTGTAAAAGATGATGACACATCCAATTAAACAAGTATTTATTTAGCAAGATTATTGCGAAGAGTTTGACAGAATTTAGGTCCTCTACTCATTTCGAATAAAACAATTGAATAGATTATTTTGTTATCAACATTTTGTAACTGAGAGAATCAAAATTTAAGCTTGTGTGCCAATTAGTAGTCCCAATACTTTGGATTAATCCTAACTAATATTCGTAATGTCCTTTTGGTTTAATGATGAAGAATGTCACACTGCTAATCATCATTGCCATTTGCTTTTGAGTGACAGGTTTTACAACTCCTTGAAGATGGAACAATCCTTTGAAGCTGAGCTTGAGGTTGTATTACGGTAATGGTGTCGGTGGCAATGAAAAAGAATGTATCCACAAGCAGAGCTTCAGCTTATACAGTAAGGCTTGTTGAACTTATTTCTTCTAAGTGCTTGTGAATGCGTTTGCATTTTATTCCTCGTGTATTTGTTTTTTGAGGTTTCTCTTACACTTTGGGTGTTCCCTTTGTATTAATTTAATTATATGTTGTACTTGATTCTCATTGTGATTGTAATTTTTGGAGTTCATTGTAACATGATCCGTTAATAAAGAAATAGTCTTCGAATATGTTACCTAGATGCATATCTCAATCCTTTTTTATAAGCTTGATATGAACATGGCTTATTTTACTGTTTCTCTTATTGTAGATGCTGTTGATGCTGTTATCTCAACCCTCCTTTCCCAAATACTTAAAAAAATTGAAAAAACAAGTCCTGCAGTTTGGAACTAAACCAGATTGTTTATATATGTATATAAAAATCATTACTTATGATAGACCTTGAAGTAATCATATCATACCTATGTTAGACCTAATCTGAGTTAATCCTATAACCGTCAGTTGCTCGACAGTCTCACTAATCTGTTTTATTAATAATGGTTGCTTCAACAATGGTTTATTGTTCAGGTTGTGATGATGGCAGGTTGATATATACCTGGTTTCAAATCAAACCAAAACATGTCAGACTAGTTCGGTCTAGTTTAGTTCCAAATTTTATGGACTGTAAATAGGAATGTAATCCCTGATGTCCTTTTAAACCGAACCATGCTTACTCCTAATAACTCCCATGAAAAATGCCAATAAGACTATAACATCCCAAAATTTCTTGTATGGTTGTGTGCACTAGTTTCAGGAAGTGCCTACAAACAATAGATCACCTCTCATGTTGATTCCTGCCTCTTTCTGTTTCACGTTGTAATGTTGGATTTCATAAGCATTCAGCTCTGGCATTCCATTCATCTATCCAAATGTTTTGCCAACATTCTTTTTTTTGTTTGTTGGTCGGTAGGAGCGGAATAGAGAATAGGGGAAGTTGGATTGCGCAATGGTGGGACTCAAATATAGGCTACACACCTGGTCAGTAGACGTGTCAACGGATTGGATTTGGGTAGGACTTGTCAAAATCCGATTCCTGACACGGTCAGATTATGACAAATCTGATAAGGGATTAGATGAATCTGAATCCATATAATCTCAATACCCGATCTAAAAGTCCGACGTGATCTGGTTTTATTATAGTACTCTGTTTTGATATGAATTTCACTTTTTATTGTGTTGCTCATTAATTTTTTTTTTAAAAATAGTAGTCTTAAAATTTTGACTGAAGCATTACATAAACAAAAATTATCAAGATTTTATAATCTTGATACTCTTCTCAGCTATACATGTGAATTTTCTGATTATCTACAACTCTCTGGTAAGTTTTTAATTAATTCGTAGATTATAAGCTCAATCCCTTATTGATTGTCCTGTGATCTGAAAGTCTTTTCTTTTGATCCAAAATCTATTACTTGAATTTGTTTTCAGTTTTTAAAAATATATTGACATGACTTGTCTAAGAGAACCAATTTTCGCAATGAATTTTGTTCCTTTTCTCTACTTACTAGCTGTACATTCAAACAATCTGTGTCTAATACTTCTACATTACAAACATCTCTTTTGAAATTGTACACAAAATTAGTCTTCAACCTGACCTAACAGTAATCCAATTTCCCGACAACAAAAAGTCACTCTCCGGCTGATGCTTCCATGGCATTATACTCTTTCTTTCCTCACAACACCGTGATGAAAATGGAATTCTTTTTCTAAACTCTCCTCCAACCGATTCATCGGATTCATAACCTTCCTCACAAATTCCAACATCCAATATACTTGCTGGCGAGCAAGCCCATTCCTCCTTTTTGAAACTCCCTCTCTCCAATGTCCCCAAAATGAATGGATGGTTAAGTAGTTCTTCAGTTTTCCACCTCTTTTTGGGATTCCTCTCCAAGCATTTTGCCAAGAAATCGAGCCCTTCTTTTGAGAATTCATGTGGAAACTGTGGTATCTCATTGCTACGTGCAATCTTCATCATGAAAGCCATTGGATTCAAAGCCTCGTCGCCCCAAGGAGGCCTACTGGTAGCCATTTCAATAACCGTGCAGCCAAGAGACCAAATATCGGCTGCAAAATCAAACCCTTCATTCCTCAAAACTTCCGGAGCCATCCACAAGGGAGTCCCAGCAAAAGACTTAGACGATTGCATTGAACCCCCATTAGTTTTCGAGCAATTTAGCCTCTTCGCACATCCAAAATCTGCCAATTTGACATCTCCAGATGATCCCAAGAGCACATTCTTGCACTTGAGATCGCAATGCACGATTCCATTCTTGTGAAGATGCTTCAAACCCAAAAGAATCTCCCTCGTGTACAATCGAATCACTCTCTCATCCAACGCCCCTCCGAATTTCTCCGCCACATCGGATAAACTTCCTCCCGCCACGTACTCCAAGAAGAGATTGAATTCCTTCCCACCATTAGCCCCATTTGACTCCCTCCCTATGCAATGTACAATATGGGGAGAGTTCAAACTCTCAAGGATGTTAGCCTCATTCTCAAGGGACCGAAGTCCGGCCTCGGATTGTGCGGACTTCACCACAAAAAGCGCCCCAGTGGCCTTGTTCATTGCCAAGTGTACGACTCCAAATGATCCGGATCCAACAAGTTTTCCCTTCATCCATTCACCAGGTTGAGGCGACGCGCAACGCCAGTTTCGGGCCATATCTTTTGCTTCACTCTATTGTGGAAAAATTGGATTTGGAAAACCGTTTGGTCACTCTTAAATTGGGTACCAATTCAATGTCAATAATTTCCAGTCTTGGAAAATGCATTCATGTTTCTATTTTTTCGCAGAGTAGCTCTGTGGAAATCAAGAAAAAAAATGAAATATTTTAAAATCCAGAGAATGCAGAAATACCCAGAGGAAAAAATAAAATAAAATGAAAGTTTTGAATCAAACTAAACTAAATACCTAGAATGGGAAAACAGAAATTTTACAACCAATGCTAGAAACAGATGTCTCACCGTAAAAAAACAAAAGCAGGGGATATGAACTTGAGACCTAACCATCCAAATCAGTAACTAAGATAGCCAAAAAATTCAAAGAAAAATATGTGAATTCCAGGGAGAAGTGCACTAGTTTCAGGTTCCCGACAACGGAAAACCGCTCTGACGATGAATTTCGGTTTCTCTTTCACCTGCAGTTGATGGTATTGCTTGGTTTCTTCCAAGTTGTGTTGGATATGAAAGCTAGGTTTTCAAATGGAGGATTAGAAGTATTTATATAGGGAGCGGTTGGTGACCCAAGCATTGTGGGAGTTTGATTGGAGGGGAGCCTATTGAAAAATGGGTAGTTGCCACGTGGCATTCACATTTTCAATTTGTGGTTCATTAGTTAGAGATTTGTTTGGGGTCATTCTGTAATTTCAGTTGCAGACAAGGGTGCTTTGGTCATTCAAAAGAAAAAGGCGGTTAATAGCAGTTTTCAGTTATTAACGATTACCACAGAAAAGATTTGACCCACTATTCAGATTTGTTTTCTTGATTTTCACTGCATGGATTTGACCCACAGTAGATCTCATCTATGAGTATTTTTTTTTTCTTTTTGCTTTTTTTTTGTTTGTTTGTTTTTCTTTTGTTGTTTTTTCTTTTTAATCAACATGGCAAAAACCAAATCCTCACCCACTAACAAGGAGTTATTTACCAATCTCAAGTTTTTTTAAAATTTATTCAACAAATGCAGGTTTTTTGAACTTGGTTTTCAGTTAATTCATGAAATTACTTACACTTCAAGTCCTGTTTTAACACAAGTTTCAGAATATATAAATTAAAATTAATATTATAATGTGTACTTAACTTAAGTGGTATGAGTCCTCGTACTTAAACCCATGGTCATGGATTCAAGCCTTGCCCATCTCTTTGTTTAACTTTTTTTTAAAAAATAAAAAATACTGCCACATGGCATGAGGAGAGTAAAGATTCAGGACACCATAAGAGGTGTTCACTTTATAATAGTATAATAGTATAAATAGATAGATTATGGGTTGAAAACATAACTTCGATAAAGTTGTGGTTTTTTGCCATAATAATAATAATAAACTCATGTTAAAAGCATAATTTCAAATTTAATATATTGTAATCAACAAAGGACTTCATAAAAGAATGTTGGTTTAGAAATCATTTTCAAAATCACACAGGTTGCTACTGTTGGGTATTTTTTTTTTTTTTTTTAAATTTATTTTTCCCTAATCCAAAATGGCCATTTTCTCATTTTGTCTATAACAAGAATTAAAATTAAAAATTGAATTCAATCAGATGATAATAAAACTTCCTCAAATACAATCATTTAAGTTTTCTCTTGTTTTGAATGGACAACCGCTCTATACAACAATCAAACATGACCCATCTTCCTCTTATATTCAATGATAAAACCACCATTACCAATCTCAATATTTTTTATATTATTATAATAGGTAGAATGAGAATAGAAGCTGCACAGTGAAACTCGAGCCCAGATATCACATACTTCTGCAACCTCAGATTCTTACGGAAACTTCACAACCCAATCTTCTTGGTAGTGTAGTCATAGACCGCCTGAAAAAGACTTCTAGAACCTTCCTCTTTCGGCAGCTTAAGAAGGCGAGCAACTCTCTCAAATCCTGCTTGGTGCCTCCTCAACAAGGAATCATCTATTGCTTCCCGCTTTATCTCTTTGTGGGCATGTTTTGGATACGACAATGCCCACTGCATCGCCCATATGGCCAAAGGGCGCATGTAGGTGAGAGATCTATATTGGTCATCCGTGTTCCAAGCTTCTGGAGTTTGAAAAGCATAGCTGTCAAAAGGAACAAAAATGCGTCGACACAAATGAAAACCCATGCAGTGAAAATCAAGAAATGTGAAAGACGAATAATTTTAACTATAAAACATAAATGTGGAAATTTTGAACCCAGTGAGTAATTTGACCATCAAATATCAAGAAAAGGAAACTGCACGTTGAGTTAGCTTCCACCTAGGTGGGTTTTTTCTCCTTACAACAGAAATCTTAATCAGACCCTCATCACGATTGGGTCCAAGTTAAGGTACAAGTTCCAAAATTAGGAATATGATAGACAAACTATGTAACTGCGAAACACCATTTTGAAACTAAACCTTGTGCTAGATATTAAGAATCCTAGGAACCATCATGCTTTCATAAATTTAGGAAAATAAAGAATGTATGAATTGAGGTCATATAAATTTTTTAGATATGGTAAAATATAATCAGGATTTCAGATTGAATTGTTCAGAAAATGATTCTTCATAGTTGAAGTATTTGAAAATCAAGAGTAATATGTTGCAATCAACTGTCAATTATCCCTTCCTTTTCTTGTACTTGTTCTTTCTCATCTCACCAAAGGATAGGTTTCAGATGTGTAGAATTGAGTGGTGTGACTTCTATGAGGACTTGAGACCAAAGGCTTCACCCGGTGAGGTGCTCCCTTACTAGGCATGATGCCTGGGTTCTGAGTCTCACCATAGGGCGATTCACCCTTCCCCTTATTCCCCTTCTATGAATTGTTATAATAAAAATAATAATAAAGGCTTGTACGAGGACTTTGACCCAACTTTCTAATTTCATCATGTTTCCAAAAACCGGAGTTAAAAACTTGCAGCTTTCCATGGATATACCGTGAAAGGATGAAGGGTTGTCATGATGATCCCTAGAAGGGCATTGCATCAAGTAAAAATCAAAAAGCCAGAACAGTATGTGCGGAGAACTGAAGATCTATACCAGAATTGTTAAACAATGAAAATTCATTTTCAAATTTTCAAACCATCAAACAGTCTCATTTGAAATTTTCTTTCAGAATGTTTCAAAGGCATTAGATCATTTCATTATTTCTATAATGGTCATTGTTGGAAAAAATGCTGAAATCTATTGATTGCCTTTGCCGTTGGATATAGACTATTGCTATCCTTTCCTTTGTATTGCATTTCTTAAGTTAATTTCTCTACTCGATAATATATTTTTTAAGTCAAGAAAATAAAGTACTCATTACGAAATGCAACAGAAAAAGGAGTTATCTCCTATTTGCTAAGTAAATTCACACCCAAGGGTTCTGGATTTCCTCCTAGTGATCGAAGTATTGGTTATCTTCGCCTGCAAAGTTGCCAAAATAAATCACTACCACGTAAATAAGGGAAAAGTAAGAAGGCTGAACTCACCCAAGTCCCTCTTCAGACCAAGCAGCCTCATGAACACCACCGGCAGTTCGAAATGCCATTTCAGCCATATCTTCGTGGATCATAGTTGCAGCGACAGCATATGTAACTCCAGACCATATTTCCCTTGACTGCATTGATGAAATGTCAACTTCTCCATTCGGTAGCATCCCATTCACAGCACCTCGCTTCCCATCCTTCACTTTTAACACATTGAAATTATAAACCTTCTTGAGGGCACTTTTTGCTTTGTCTTCGTCAACAATTGGTAAAAGACCACATGCTCGAGCATACCTACAAAGAAGAACTTGATATTTATAAACAATAATTTTCCCTTCAAATCTTGACTAAAAGTAAGAAACCTAAGAATCATTAGTTAGCATTTTGGATATTGCTTCCAAAAGAAAAACATACAAGCAAAATCCGCTTTTAGAATTAGGAAAAGTAATCCCAAATCCTACCCAATAGAACAGGTGTGTAAAAGAAAAACACATTTTTTGGTACATTAGAGGTCATAGTCTAAGGAGGGGCAGAATTGCCTGTGGCAAAACTTATACCCTTGATGTCCTAGTGAGGTGTAGGGGTTCTGGCCAACAGTGCTAGCCATAGTTGGTTAAATAAAGCACATTTAGTTTCATATCAAAGTTCAATTAAATAATTTTTAGATTATTTGTTATCAAGAAATATTAAAGTTATTTTCTATTGCAGCATACCATTGTCCAGCCAACTGATCAGCTTGGATAGATGAACTTGTACTTCCACCGCTATTATCGTAGTTGAAGTAAGAACCATTCCATAACTTCTCGTATACTTTTTTCGCCTTCTGAAACTTGAACCAAAAATAATCCTCGGCGCCCTTGTCACCAACTTCATGTGCCATAGCCGAGGCAGCCTGCAAGGCTGCTACCCACAGCCCACCACAATATGCACTCACTCCAGAGACAGACCACGTATCATATGTTTGGTCGGGGAAGCCATCGTTTTCTATCATCCCATCTCCGTCCTTATCGAACTGGTCCATAAAAGCCATTGCAACATAAACCGAGGGCCAAACAGCTCGTGCAAACTGCTTGTCCCCTGTGGCAACTACGTCCCTGTAAACTTGCAGTACAAATTTCGGATTCAAATCTTTCCACCTATCTGTGTTATGAAGGTTATATGCGTTTACTTCAAACCATGGGTCGTTTATTCCAATATCATGAGGAACAGCACCAAGAACCTTTCTTGAGACCCATTTTCCGTCATGCAGAAGGCTCATCTTACTGGGATCGTGCATCATTACGGCTGCTGCAAAGTCTCTCTGGATGCTGAGTTCAATTTTTGGAAATAGCATGACTAATGCAAAAGAAGAGTAAAAATGAACATCGTACGTGTTCCACATGTGGTATTCAATCCCCTCATAATAGAGGAATTGGCCAATATTCTCCTCTCCTTTTTGAAGCAAATTTGTTCCAAAAGCAGAATTTAATGTTACTGGAGTGTGTATATCCTTGAGAATAGAAGTCATCCTCCCAAGAATGTCATCAGCAGTGTCGTTCTGATGGGACATGTGGTTAGTGTTATTAACATCTGAACTGGACATATCAAGGGAAAACTTTTTTTGTCCAACGCTTGCTAAACTATGGACCGGAGGAGATCCATCTGTAATAGGGCAAAAGAGCAGATTCAGATTCACTACTTCAGTCACATTGAGAACCATAGGCTTATGTTTAAGAAAATACCTGTCCAAACTGTTCCTCCTGAATTCAGATAGTAGAGCTCATTAAAAAGAGTGACTGCGTACCTGCAAAGAATCATAAAAAAATTTAAATTCTGATCATAAGCATGGTTGGCAAATGACACCTCGAAGCTCACCATTCAGGAAGTCTCTTGTCTTCAAGAATAGGTCTTTGCCATGCTTCTATCTGGGATTCCCAAACTTTATGCTCTATGTTTCAAAGAAAAGAAACAAAAATAACGACTTCAAACATCATTGAAAAGGCAAATTCTGCTTTAGAGTAAAAAATCATAAATGTATCAATATGAAAACAAAGGAACCAAACATTTTGTATGATAAATAATCGACTACCGTATACAAGACCCAAAAGCTTAATCTAAATTTTCCAGTCCTAAATCAATCATCTACTGCAGAAAGGATACAAGGAAACTGTACCAAGAATAGCATCACGTGCAATATTTGAAGCAGCATCGCCACTACCATAAAATTTGCTGTAACGCCTGGTTACAAAATGTATTTTTAGCACAATGATGATCTTTTAATCTGTGAAGTTAGTCAGACAAGCGTTTAGCCACCCACCTGTAATAAGTTCTTCCATTCATGAAGTTTACCTCAGGGCAGTCCCATGCCAATGAAAATGTAACAGTACGTACTGCATCTGGTGGAATTGTCACAGAAGCAGCAATGGCTGCTCCAATTGACGATCCTGGTTCTGAAGGCGTCGATGTTTCAGTGGAATCAAGGCGATCAAAGGATCCATGCTAATAGAATAAAGCCAAATATCAGAGACTGTAAAAATCACAATAAAATAAACACCAGAGAAAAGTAACCCAAAAAAATAAAATAAAAAGTAGATTGTGCTTTTTCTTATTTTGCATTTGCATTAAGAAAAAATCTCAAGGATCACCATACATCAGAAGATAACTCTCAAATACATTAGACCAAAAATAAATAAAGAAAGAAAAAATAAAGAAAAAACTTTGACTGAGGTGAAACTAGACTGTAAAACATATTTCCAATATAAATGGAAAGGTATAACATGACTACAATCATGAAACTTCACGAGTGGCGTCTAATCCTTTAAATTTCTCAACATCCAGCCGGAATGTTCAATAGAACTTACCAAGCTACAAAAGAACACTGCTATGAAACCCTTGTGGTATCCATACACAAGGAAAAGAAAAGAAAATGAAATCTAGGCTTATTTGATTCCTAGCTAGGAATGGAAAGGAATAACCCTATTCATGTGACACCCAAAAGCATATCACGTGTTATAACATATCAATATCTATATCTGAATACCAAAATAATTATTCTATGGACTACCTTATTCCACAAAATATCCGATTTAATTAGCTTACAACGTTCTGGAGATCAAAAATACAAAGAAATGAGATGGAAGCCTTGAGAGATGGGCAGCCTCGAGTTTAAATCAAGTTTTGATGCTTTTGACTTGGAAAACAATCTTTTACCCATGTTTATCATTGATTTTGCAAGGCTTATGATAAGTTTTCTTAGGCCCTAGCTCAAAGAAATAGAAAGAAAAAGCTGAAAAATGCAGGATTTTCGAACAGCACCTGTCCTCCTAGAACCGCACGTGCGATTTGGATTTCCGCACATGCGGCCCGCACGTTCCCTGACCAAATGCGGATTTGGTCCCACACGTGCGGAATTCCCCTGTTTCAGCCCAACTTCAAATAGACATCTCTCTCTCATCTGGACTCGGTTTTAAGCGATTATTTAGTCTAAATTCAAACCCCAGAAGTCTAGTTTTCAATGGTAGTGGTCTCACTTCCAAATTCTAAACATACAAAGATATATGTCTAAATTAGTGAAGGTTGCTCACTTTCTTCTTAACCATTTCATGCTAATTCCTTTCCTAACTTAGTTTTCTTTCATTTCTTCCTATCTACTTAAACCCTATATATCTAAACATGATATTTTTCAATGCATAGCATATGAAATTGTTGTAGAATACTTAGGGCTTTCAATGTACGTTTTCTGCACACTTCATTCTTCAAGCCTTAATCACTTAGAATATTTCTAGGCATGCATTTGATACATGTTTGACATTTGATTTAGAGTCGAATTAGGCTTAGAAAGGTCTTAGATAATCTAAAGAAAGATTAAGAAACACTAAGCTAAGTTAGAACACTAGAAATGAATTTATAAGCTTTCTAGTCTATGTTTCCAATGTATTGTTTATGCTTTGTGTAGGTTAAGCTTTGAAGAAGTTACACCCTCGTTCTCGGAGCCATTTGTGAGTGATAGTGTAATAAAGTTATGTTTCTTAAATTATGATTTGAAATGCAAACATATGGTATGTTTAAGGAAACTATATTATTGTTTTGCTTTGAATGAACATCATGTACTCTTGTATCATGTATTAAGATGACTTCTTGGAACATGTTTGTTCTTGGAAATCAAGCCAATGACCTCTAGCTAACTGAGCTCTTTGCCACCTATTGTGGACAAGTTATTCAAAAAGCCTTGGAATGTTCATCGCTATGTATATGCTTGCAAGTTAAGCTTTGTTTATCATGTGCAAATTATATTATGTTTGATATGAGCTTGTGCTTGCTTTTAATAAAGTTTATCGGTGTTCATTCATTTACCACTTTATTGAATTACTATTCACTGGACAATGGCTCATCCCTCTCCCTTATATGTAGGTGACAAAGAGTTCAAGTATAAAGAGAAGTTCGCTAGAAACCGGTCTTGTGCGCTTGTGCTGAATTGTTTAAGTCGTGACTTGAGTGTTGTATTTTAATTTATTATTGATGTTTAGTGTTGTAAGATAATAATCCAAGAATGATGGATGCTTTCATTTCATATAGGTATACATTGATCTGAATGGATATTTTAAATGGACTCAATATAAGAAAATAATGACTTCCACACTTTATTAAAAGAACTTTTGCCCAAATTATATTAAGAGTCCGACTTGCTTTTGTTTAGTAGGCCTTTGGTAGTCAAGGACTACTGGCCAATCACTACACCATCCTGTTTGGGGCGGGTTGGGGTCGTGACAATCCATGCCCCACTCTACACAAGTAAAGAACTACATTCACAAGATGCTAAAAGCATTTAAGTCAGAACCTGATACAGATTATGGACTTTAGCATCTGTTAAATTTACACTCAAACCCACTTCCAACCTACATGAAATGGCAGAACCCAATCAGCTTGTAGCTGCATTGTCAAACGAAGCAAGACCAGGTCGGATAAAACATGTGATGGATATCATCAGGTCCTATATGCCTCATTCTGTTTAAATCTACATTGATATCTACTCAATATTTCTTTTTCTGGTCACATTTTATAAGATTTTGGAAGCTTGATTAGAATTTCATGTCTTAATTTTGGCAAAAGAGACGGAAATCCCTAGCTAAAAATTCAAAACCTTCTGAGGCATGGGCTAAGCCTGAGATATTAGAAGCGTTTAAATCATAGAATAAGCTTGAAAGGAATCTTTTGACTCAAAATTCGTCATATCAAGTAATTAAGTAATAAAAAAGTAATATTAATGAAAATGATATGGGAGATAAATAGGTAGAATGAATGATCATCGACTTTTGTTGAGGGATGTTCTGTTTTCATATAAAATTACATTTTAAAAAACTACACGAGCACAAGTATAGAAAGTTCAAATATCAAAAGACGAGAACCCATATGTGGGGTAAATGTGAAGAACAGAGTTCATTATACTAGTTCCTTAAAAGTTATGTAGGCAGGGTAGCAGAGACCAAAATATAAAACCAGTATTCCTAAAACTGCACAGGCATAAGGAATGGGTCAGCCAACCTCTTTAATTTCCTGCCACATATGTTTTGCTGTTATACCCTCAGAGTTTCCAGCTATCACAAAGCAAGGACACTCCGAAACATGAACACCATTTGTCTCTTCTGCTGCAATTGCAAAAGTTATAGGGGATAGTCCATTTGCAGTCCTGTGTTGACATACGTGGGGTGTTATCAATAGAAAAATCATAATATATTTGATAAAACATTGAACAAGCCAACCCATGTCAAGAAGACTTAAAATTCATAGCAAGAATGGGAACTTGCATGTGATGCAGGAGGACACCATGAACATCATCCTTCGTCCTAGCAAGATAATTGACTTTGAAAGTTAGGATACAACAGAATTTAATAACATATGCAACATTCACTATAGCTCTAATAATGTTTCATAAATGAACTCAATTTAATGTCTGTTCTTACCTAAGCTTCGAATTGTAGTGATGACCAGAAAATTCAGAAACCCCACCAACAGAATTCTAAATGCACATAAACAAAACTTTTGTTAGTTTTCAGGCCTTATACAATATTTTTCGGAAGAATCAACGCAGGAAACAGATAGTGACTGGAGAGAAATTATCAACAAATGGATTGGATTTAGAACCAAAATTGATTATTATTTTTTTAATAAAAAGTTTGTGTGTTATTGGGGAAAAAGGAATAGAAAGGTTAACTTACTGCCCATGTGAAAAGCAAAGTGACATCTGCAGCAGTCTTTCCCGAATTAAACAGCTGAAGAAAATAATTAAAAAAAAAAAAAATCCTTTTTATATCAAGACTACCAATGGAAGATCAGCTGTTAAACAAACAATTTTCAGCAAAACCACTTTCCTACCGTGAAAGTAAAAACTGCTACGGGAAAACTGCTCTGCTTATAATTATGGGGGATAATTGGAGAAATCTGACGACAAACTATCCTAAGATATGGATCAGGTTCACCTGCAATTATAGAAAAGGGTGACCATGAGTCACATTATCCATATTGAAAGTGAATAAACTAATAAAAAAACCAGTTGATCATACAGATTACCTTCATATACCGTCCACGCCCTAGGATACAATGCATGATATGTAGAATTATGCCCCTTCAGGTTCCAGTCCCAAGATCCAATCCCAGATGCAGAACTTTCTCTGTTCATTTAAATGACCTTTGATGAGGTTTCCTTTGCTTTTATCACATACAAATTTTCATATCCAATAATCCAACTAAGATTAATGATTTTCAATAATCAATCAAAAAGCAAAATGATGTATTATGTATATACAACACATGCTAAAGAAGAAATAAAAATCAAGTTGATGTAATGGGGAGGCAAGATCATAGTTACTTTAACACTTCTGGGTTCCCTGGGCAGAGTACGGTGGAGTATTTTTCACCATTAGAGCGTGAAACAAAAGCCTGCATAACGAATCCACATACAGATTAAAAACCTCAAATCATATTTGGAGATGAATAACTAACTGGTAACAGTGATAAAATGCTTTTTAAAGTACATCAGCGCTAACAAATCTGGGAAGGAAAATGCTAATGACTGCCCAAAGGACTGTCACTAGACTTGGTAGGCACACAAAATGTGGATTGAAATGTGTGAAAAGTGTAATAGAAATATATGAAAGTGCTTTGGGATGTGTACAAAATACCTTGAGATTCTAACTTATTTTTTTCGCGTTTCCTCACCTTATTGACAGCATTAGCATCCGCCATCTTAGAAATAGTAGTGTCTAATCTTGAGATCACAAAAAATACAATGTTTTTTTTTTTTTTTTTTTGGGTTTCGGCCAGTGGGGGCGCGACACCTCACTGGGGTTGCGACCCCCACTGGGGGTCTGTAGCGGAATTGCAAAAAATACAATGTTGTCAGCCTGATCAGCTTAAAAAAATGCTTGACAATGCTTCATCTCCAAGTACTTGAGGTTGGCTTCATGAATCCATTTCTGATCCTTATATCAATCTTCCTTTATCTAAGGATTCCAAGGCTAGGCCATAGGTAAAAAAGTGGGCCCTGTTGCCTTTTCTGAGTCTTGAAATTTTTCTTTCTTATTGCCCTTGTAACCTTCAAACTAGAAGCAATCACTCCTTCAGACTGGCATGTCTATTTTTCTTTGTTGCAAATGACCAAACCATCTTTCTGTTTTTTTTTCCGGTGATGTGTTACCATGACCAGACCATCTTAACTAACTTCCTTTCATTTTGTCTTTAATCACTGCTACCTGAACATATTGATATGTTTATTCAATCCCCTTGTTATCTGCCACTAAAGCACATCAACATCCTTAATCTAGTTAAACTTGCATCCTACCAATAGAGAATCAAATCTGCCCTCCAAAAAATTATCTTTAAGTGGGTGAAGTAGGTGGAGAGTAGGTGGATTTTAACAGTAACCTTTTCCACAGTGCCTAGCTCTGTGCATTCATTTAAACATCTCCATTGGGCTGAACTTCTTTTTTGAGAACATTTCTTGACATCCCAACACTGTGGTCAACAAAGCATACTTGCCCTTAGGCACTTCCATAAGTTAGTGTTACCTTGATATATCTATATTCACACATCTTAAAGCAATCCTCTATTTCACCTATTGCGTTCTAATTATATGGGCAACATTATGCCCAATATCAGCTTCTACATAGACAAGCAATGGAAAATAATGAAAATGGTCACTTTTGGCTATAGATGCCATCAACTTTCACTATTTTCCCATTTCAACCATAGTTTCACCGAAGCCCCTTTCCCTAAATTTATTATGTTTATTGCCTTCATGCTTGTCCAGAAATCCTTAAACCCCAGTAGAGAATTAACATTTGCTACGACTTTTCAACTAAAACTACATCATCAACAAACAACAGACATCGTGCAAACCTTCCTAAATAGCCTTAGAAGTTAATGCATACAAAGGAAAGATTAGAACTTGAAACAGTAACATGCATTGCTTCATTGCAAGTTCAGTGACCTCTTCTGCATTTCTTCTTATGCTAACTTACTGCTCTATTGAGCATGTCCTCAATCACATGTGATTTAATTAATTTGCCTTTTTGTCCAAAACCACCGCATTACCTCTCTAAGGACCTTATGAGGATCCAATATACTGATGATCACACTGTCATCAAAAACTATCAAGAGCATTGTGTTTAAAAACAAACCCAAACCAAACCAAGCCTTAAGTCCCATCAAATGGGGTTGATTACATGAATCCTTCTTTTCCACGCGGCTCTATCAAAGGCCATTTCGTCAGTTAAATTAGTCAAAAGAACAAAAAATAAAATAAAATAAAATAAAAAATAGAGTTAAGAAAATTCTAGATTGTTTAATCTCCTGTGCAATCTAATGTCATGCATCAGAAGACTTTACTTTTGTAATCATACCAACAGACATTATCCATTGTTTAAAATAAGAGACTTGGAAATCCTGAAGCAAAATTCTGAAAAGCAGGAATCACAGGATTTGCAAGAGAAATGTTGGGGACAATAAGTCCCAACAATTGATGAATTGATAAAAGGAAAACATGAAAATAGTGGAATGCCTGAATTACATGAGACATGTTGATCGCCTCACAAGAAATCCATCAAACTTACGGAAAATTGATTTGCTAAAACTGGTTTGTCTTCACACATTCTAGGGAATAGTTGCAAGCGCTGAAATTCTCCTTTGTAGTTTCTTTCAATGCTTCCTGCACTGAAAATCATTTTTTTTTCTCAACAATCAAGATGATTTTTTTCTTTTTCAGTTTTTCTTTTTTTATATGTGTGGTGTGTGTGTTAAGAAACAACCAAAAAGAACATTAAAATAGCTGCAAATTAGTATATATATGAATGATTTTTTGGCAATTTTTATTTTTTATAATTAAAAAAATAATAATAATAAAAATAAAAAAAGTCCTTAGACACACATTTGGTGAACAGCCTGCTGTCACATAATGCCATGGACACAAAATGTTGCATCCCAAGTTGGTCAGAGTGCTAGGCACAATAGCTTTGAATATTTTGAAATGGGGAAAATTTTCATGTGAGTGCTTGTAAACTCGCTATATTAATCTCTCAACTAATATCTTCATTTTGGTATGTTGCAGTACCATGCAGAATATTATAACGACAAAAGCAGTACTTTGTAGTTTTAAAACACGTTTCCCACCTCACAAACACACGGTTAGATTGGTGAAATAAGAAGATTTAAGGTCTGTCCAATCTCCAATAGGGAGGAGTATCATACATATGATAAATCAGAGGAAGGTCTCTGAATAGATACATAATGGGTAATGACATATGTTCTTTTCTTTTTCTTTTGATAAAGAATGGACTGTGGTCATTGGTGAAGAAGATTGACTTACCCCATACCACCTAGTGGAACACCATGACATGGTGTGACTGAGCGTTTCATAAAAGGATTAATAAATGATCCCTGAAAAAATGAAAAGAGATGCAAAGACTAGTTATCTTACCATAATGAAACAACCATAAAAATAACTTGCAGATTTTAGTGAAAGAAAATTACCCTTCCTTTGGCGGCTTCTTCTCGGCAATGACGCCATAATCGATAACCTACTGGAGCCTGCAACAAGACAAAGAGAGATGCTATTGGTAACAAAAGCTCAAAGAACTACTGCCTGAGTCAACACTTACGTATCCGTCATGTACTTCGCTGCATCGCTAATGTTATGGCAGATTCAATTTCAAGTAAATATGCTAGTACGCATTTTTATGCATATTATATCGGTTATGTTGTTGAGATATGCCACTTTTGAGTTCACTTTAACTTGTAATTTTGTGTTCAATAATTCTCAGAAGCACCAGATCACTACCAACATAGAGTAAACATTTTTCTTTTTTAACAAATATCAGAATTCATTTTAAGTGACATAACTTCAGTTTTCTAAGTTATAAATCGAAATAGACCACCTCAAGTGGCAGGGATTAAGATTCAATTTCAATGCACCCCAAATTTAAAATAGAACCCAAGTCAACAGGTTGGTACATTTATGGTAAACAATACAGCAACATAAAGAGACTTTTGATCTTATACTAAAAAAACAATCTCACATACTTATGGATGGAGAGTCATTGACCATAGAGGAGGTTCAATATATTTTTTGGCAACTTGAGCACAAATCACTTAAAATATCCTACAACTTCTTAATTTGCATTATTACATCCGCCAAAAAGCAGATTAAACTTCATTCTAAATAGTGTGAAAATTTAAACTGAATCACAGACTTGGTTTATCTAAAAGCTAATTTGCAGAGAACATGTGCTTGTGTGAGCAAGCCCAAGGTTTAATATAAAATTACATACCAAATGAACTATCTCTAGCATACTTAGAGAGAACTCTGAAAGGGGATTTCCCTCGCTATTTATTTTCCGCTGCCAAGTCAGAGATGCAGGTTTTGCAGGGTCAACCTTAATCTGGAAAACACAAAAGTATAGGAATAAGATGAGCACTAAATCAAAACACCAACTTCGAAACACGTTAAAAGTTCTCAACAGTACCTTGGAAATCTCAGAAGCGGCAAAGGGTCAGTATCAGCTGTATTTTAACTCATATAATAACTAGTTTATGATTAAGACTCTCCCATTTACATTGAAAACCCTCTATCTATGTTAAGCCTTTGTTTAGAATAAGGAAAATAAAGAAGTTTAATAAGGTCATGTACAGTAACCAATTTTGGAAAGAAAATGAAGCCAAACCAATATGCATATTTCCAAACAAAATGCAAGTCTGTTTAATGATTTCACTAAATAAAATAGGAGAAAGTGTTCCCCACCACTGAGTTGCATGAAGCTTTGAGCATTTTCGAAAATCTAAAACTCCATTCCTAATTGAAAAATATATTTGGCTTTAGTACTCAATCGAACCAAGGTACACCTTTATCACTTCTTTCATGCCTAATTAAGAATTCAACTCCCACCCTTCAAATATCATCTACAACCACAAAAAAAGTGGAGCCTGAGTCGATATTATATTTTATCCAAACACTTGCCTACCCAAAGAAGAATTTGTAACATACTTCTATCATGAAATAGGAATTATAGTTGTACACTCGCTAAAAGTCCTTCTCAAATGGATTTTTTAGGGTAATTATATTTGCACACTACACCACAAATATTCTCAGTTCACACCATTTTGTTGTTCGGATATCAACTCCCAAACAAAAATCAATTGTTCGAACAAAAACCGTGTTCAATAGTTGATATCCGAGCAACTGTTTTTATTCGGAAGTCGATATTTGAACAACTGATATTTGTTCAGAATTTGATATCGAACGGCAAAATGGTGTGAATTGAGAATACTTGTCGTCTGCAAACAGAAGTTCCTAGATTTTTATGGCAGATTTATTCTTTTTGCAGCATTAGCCTTGAAGAAAACAAGCAAGTAGTGCTTCTCTGTGGAGGACAATCAGAATCCAGCATGCTATGGACCTGCTGCGTTTTGTTCAGAAATCAGGAATGCTAGGAGGAGTGCTGGCTATCTGAACTCAATAGTCAACTGTAAACAACTCTGATGCCAACAACCATTAACTCCCCATGACCTGTGTTAATATCATTTCTACTTGCAAAGTCTGCAAGTGCTTTCATTACAATTTTTAAGCCATCGCAGAAGAATGCTAGTGAATGTATTGAGCATTTGTGGAGGGAAGGGAAAAGAGAAAGTAAAAGTGAAAAAAATTGCGTTTGGGTCTTGAATTTGTGTAGGAATTTCTGAAGGGAAAGACAAAAGAAAGGGAAAAGTAACAACAATTGTGTCCGTTTCTTTTCATGCAAAAAGATCCCACCCCAACAATGATAGAGTCAATAGAAAACATCCGAAGGACGAGTTGACCTCAGAAAAGCATCCAACACCAGAAAAAATTAGATACAAAGAAACTAACCCAATGTAGGACAAGTGCACGAAATAACTCTCCCACAAGCTCCAATACCAAACTAATGTGAGACCACCACTAAAACTCAATATATGGTCTTAAAAGGTAGAGAAAGGTTATAGTCTATGTCAACAAAAGATCCAATTTGCTAGGTTTTTAATGTGGAAGATTGCTGGATTTGTTGAGAATGAAATGCTGGAATATCTGGACAGCAACTAATATAGGGTTTCAATCTTTAAAAGCCAAAAGAAAAGAAAAGGGATAATGTTCGTTAAAACTTGGCAGGCAATTATCTTAGGACTGAAACATGGACATCTAAAAGGAAGTAAACAATTAATCCCAAACAATTATTATCTTTGTTTTCCAAGAATTACATAATCTTTAATTTCAAACACCAATCTTTGAAACCTGTAAAAGGGCTCTGCAATAAGGATGTGAATGAGCACAATTGAGCCAAATACTGTGCCGTTTCTTGTAGTTAAACTTTTAAAGAGCTTGACCCAAGCTTGAATTTTACTTAAGCTCGACGGGCCTGCTTCAAGCTTTCTTAATAGTTGTTTCAATGAGCTTGAGCTTGTACAAATGACCCCAACCAAGTTGTCTTCTTCTCTTTTCTTGTCTAGTTGAAAATTTTCATGGGGTGGCAAGCTTCTTCACTAAACTATCGTTTTTTTCTTTCTAAATCGAATATTCCAAACTAATGGTTGGCACACGCGATGCGTGTGCAATTCAAATAAGTAAAAACAAAATAAAAAAAATTACTATATGTTGTGTGCCACTCAAGTGGTAAGAGTATTCGTTCTTAAACCTAATGTCTTAGGTTCAAGTCTTTCCACCCTCGAATACAAAGTGAGGCATTTTTTATTTTTTGACTATTTTTTGTTTTTTGTAATAGAGAAATGTAACACTTGGCATATAGAGAGGCAAAGGCTTCTGGACACCAACTGAAGCCTTTGCTTTATCTAATAGTATATATTTTATCAAGAAAAAATAACCAAGTACCATTTAAGCCAAAAGCTTGCTTGATTCTTGTCATACATTACTCCCTTTCATAAGTAGCCTTTTCTATGTAAATTGTATTTTTGATTTAGTTTCCTACAGAGTAACATAAAAGTAACTGCATGATCTTAATTGAACCAAATCTAGTGTTGAGCAAGTTTGGGTTGTGAAGCAGTGCAAGCATAAACTTGACCTTGGCTCTTTCTGTGAATAAGAAGCTTGGTTGATTTAATACACATAAATTATGAGATTAAGTGGAAATTACAGCACACGTATACTTCTCTATTACACAAAATTGAGATTTACAGTTTAAATCATTAACAAAAATAAAATTTAAAAATTGATCTAGAGATGCAAGAAACTTTGTTTACACTTGTAACTAAGGTCATGCTCAGTGCACAAGGTTCTTGCTTGCAGAAGAGTTTGGGAGTGGGAGGGGTAGTAGATAGGCAACCTTCTCCCACTTTTCTTTTCTGTTTTTTTTTTTGGCGGAGAGATTGGTTTTGTGACCTGAATTTGAGTCAAGAGGCTGGGGGAGGACATGATCCCTTGTCAACATGAGTTACAATAAACATAGTAAAAAAAGCCACGTTGATGGCCACAATGCAAAATTGCCAAAAAAAGAAAAAGAAAAAACACGTTGAACGTAAGGCCAAGAACTACTCAAATCAAATATGCAACTTAAAACTCTCATGTATATGAAGGGAGGCCTCATTGCGATTGCTCAATGCAAAAGGAACATGAAAAGGTTAAAAAAATAAATTAACAACTAAATCAAGTACATAACCAAACAGACAACCTACCTCATCAATACAAGAATTCCAAGATTCTCCTTCTCCATCTCCTTCATCAAAACCATTCACCAACATCTTGCCTAAAAAAGTAAATGAATAAATAAAGTAAGAAGATTAACCATAATATAATATATACAGACAAGGAAGTCATACTGATTGTATCCATAACTTGGTTGCCAGAGATGTAATTTACTATAACAAGTACAACCCTCACTCTTTGCATGATTCAATTCTTTCCACCATCAACCAAACTAAACAATTAGGATTTCTCAACTAACATCAACAACCCAAAATCTAAATAAATAGCATGAGTTAGTGGTTAATAATTCTAACATAGTATCAGAACATGTAATGGATCTTGTGTTCGAACGATACCGACTACCCAAAATTAAAATAAATAAATAAAATAAAATACCCAAAACGGTTTCTCAAAATAATAGAGTTGGATTTGATCAGAATCAATTCAATCTACTAAATTTGGAATCAAAACAAACTTTTTAAAGCATGGAGGGTACGCATGCAACAGTAAAATTGCCAAGGAAACACAATGAATTAATCAACCAAGGCCACAGCTCACCTTTTCAACAAGACTGGTACATAAACTTATATATATATATATATATAAATCATTCAATATTTTCAAAAACCAAAAACAGTATTGTGAGTTGATCACTGACAATTATGCTCCAAAATTCATCAAATTATGTGCTAAACAAAAAATTACCCATTATAGGATTGGACATGCAGGGTAGATTATATCAATTGGGTTTAATTAAAACAAGAAAAATCAACAGTTGACATCATAAATTCCGATCATCCGACTCAGAACATTCAATCAAAAGTCTGAAATTGCAATGCATGACATACATGATGATAATGGAAGGATTGTAAGAACCCTAACCTGACAGGGGTGATCTTGCAGAGAAGAGAGAGAAGAGAGAGACGTTATGCGCTGAAGATTTTAATGTTAGATACCGTATAAATGCTTCTTTGTACTGTTACGGATCCGCCACAAGGGAGTTGAACTCCTGAACTTGGACATTTGTGTTGTATATTTTCACCGTTAGTCCCTAAATTTTAGTTTATTTATTGTATAACCCTGATTTATTAGGTTCTTTGGTAATTTGCACTTGGTATTATTATTAGGTTCTTTAACGTTATCTTGCCACGTCAGCAATGAAGAAAATTTTATACCTCAGAAAAAGTTTAAATAATTATACGTATTGCCATTTTGTTAAAATAAAGTTATACGTATCATATATAATACTGGTAAAGATATCAAATTTTTATTAAATAAATAATTAAATGTTTTGTATAGGTGAGGGTCCGTTATTTATTCGATAGAAAATTTAGAATTTATAATATTTTTCATTAATTAGTGCAGTAATAGATGATATGACATAATTTTAAAAATTTTAAATTTATATAATTTTTATAATTGGTAGAGTCTATAATTTTGAAGTGACAATATCATAATATATATTGATATATTAATTAATATATCAATTGATACGTATAATACTACTAATTTTGTTATAACATAGGTATGTTAGGAACTATAATTTGGGTGAATTCAGTTAAATTAAGAGTAGGGAGAATTACATTGCAGTCCCTATAGTTTGGGATTTGTGTCACTTTGATTCATAACTTTTCAATTATGAGACATTTGATCTTAAATTTTGAATATTGTTTCAAATAAGGATAATTGAAGATACCATTGCTCAATTTTAAGTGCAAAATCGTCAATTTGATAAAATATAAACAAATTTGACAAAAATAAATATCAAAAAAATATTTTAAAATGATTTCTATCCACCAAAGATTTATGTAAAACTGATAAATCTTTTACACATTTTTTTTTTACGAAATTAATTTTTATTATGTGTTTGGATGATGATTATGTAATAGGTGATTGTTAGACTTTTAATGTGTAATTGATATATTTAATATATGAAATGTTTTTAGTTTTGGATTTTTTTAATTAAAGGATTGATTTAATAACGATAACCAAGTTGTCGCTATATTTAACTTTTGAAAAAATATAAACTAATTTAATGAAAATAAAAACAATAGTCCATTATATGATCATCATCTAAACACATAATAAAAATTAATTTAGTTAAAAAAATGTGTAAAAAATTTATCAATTTTACATAATTTTATCTTTGGTGAGTAGAAATAATTTTTAAAAATTTAAAAATATTTTTTTGACATTTATTTTTGTCAAATTAGTTTATATTTTATCAAATTGATGATTTTGTCTTTGAAATTGATTAATGGTATATTTAATTATTCTTATTTGGGACAAGATTCAAAATTCATGGTCAAATTTATCACAATTAAAAAATTAAGAATCAAAATAACACGAATCCCAAACTATAGGGACTGTTAATGTAATTCATCCTTAAGAGTTTATCAAAACTCATTTTAAAATATAGAAGAATTAACATTTCATCCGTGTCATACAAATAAAATATTTTAAAAAATAATTATATATTAAAAACAATTGTTTTCATACAAACAATCATACAAATAATTAAAAAATAATATTAATATCAAATAATAATTAAAAATATTTTAAAATGTAGAGATAGAAGATATTGAAACTCAAATTGTGACGCTCCGATTCTACACTATAGGTTGCAATCAAGGGAGAGTTACTAGTGAGTCCTATGGTCAATAATCAAGTAAGATCCCAGATCGCCGGAGGAGTCAAAATAGCCTCCCTTCTAAGTCCAGCTTTTTTAGGCAGCGCACTACCCTTTTGACAGATCTTACAAAGCATTGACACAAAGTCTCATAAGCAACGATAAGGTTCATACGTAGGATATACATACATAATAACCACAATTATACTTGCTTCAAAAGATTGTTCCATTACATTACATCACAAAAAAAAAAGTTTTAAACTTCATATGAATCTTACAAAATAACAAAAGGGAAATTTCTAGTATTCCTAAGATAGCCAAAAGTCTTCAAAGGTTTCCGGCTCGTCGTCTTCCGCTATGAGTTCCGCTTCGTCACCTGGTATGATACGCTGTGAGCTTTGAATGCCCAGTAAACACACACACACACCCTACCCCTTTTTCCCAGTTCAATACACAATCACAAAATATAACATCAAGTAGTAAAGCATGATATTCTAGTAAATAGATCAATAAATAAATAAATAGTTAAGTTAGATGTCAGTAAACTAGAAATCCCCCAAAGAGATTTCGTCCTCCCAACCACAAGAATCGGACGCGGATTATTCGGTATGCCCCCTCTTTTGCTGCTTTGTTGCAGACCTAACCTCGGATGCCTACCAACGGTTATATACCGTGTAGCGCCAACCGCAGGGCCTCAAAAGAGACGGTAAAATAGGGCCTTGCCCGAATTCCTCCTCACACCAAACCACCTAGGGTCCGAATACAACCGCGCCGTTCAAGGGTTCTAAAAATCACATGCGCAAGACTTTAACCTTTAAATAGGGAACGCATCCCAACATACCATATACCACATATTCTCATCTTTTCATTACTCAAATGTTCGAAAAACCCAATACCCACCCAATTAGGTTTCCCGTTGAATTAAGTGTTTTAAGACAAGGTTAGTTCAACATATAAAACATTAATATCCATATAAGCATGCATTCTTAAGATGAGAAAGGTAAATAACATAACCACAACACATATATTATCAGGCCAAGATATGATTA